TAAAATAATTTTCAACTTTAATTAAATTACAATGCAATACAATCCATCGCTCCCACTCATTCAAACTCACCCTATAATTCCCACCTAACTGTCACGCGCCGTTGGATCTGCGTGCGTCTACGTGTCATTTCATTTCGCCGGTTAGCTCACTATTTTCCGGCGAGCAGCCGAGCACTAGGGTTTAGGATTATCTATCCTTCCTTCTTCCCGAGATGTCAAGACGGCGAAATAAATCCCAGATATTCCGACCGCCGGAATCATCTTAATTTATTGTTGTCGTTTTCTTAGTTGAATTTTCCGATTGAACTGAATCGGAAAAATGCCGCAAAACGAAGGTGTTTTGTTCACTTTCTCTTCCATCAAGATCCCCGTCTTCTTCCCAAAACCTTCCTTCTCGTGGAACCTAGCTTCGCAGTTAGCTAGAAAATGTAACTCTCTAACTCAGCTCATTAACTCATTGGTAACTCGGGCTAATGGCAGAAAACATCCAAGCATTCACTCAACCGGATTGAACTCCCGACTGCTTTGCTCTGCTTCCCTGTCATTGAACCTTCAGACCAGGTTGCCTCAGCCAGAATCACAAACTTCTACGAGTCAGGCTGGCTACGCTGAGTCGACGCAGTCGGGGTCGGAGGTGTCTCCGAAGGGGCACTCTTCTAGTCGACAGGAGGAGAGGGTTCTGATTAGTGAGGTTCTAGTTAGGAACAAGGATGGTGAAGAGCTTGAGAGGAAGGACCTGGAAATGCAGGCCCTGGCAGCGTTGAAAGCCTGCCGGGCTAACTCCGCACTCACAGTTCGCGAGGTTCAGGAGGACGTGCACAGGATCATTGATAGCGGCTACTTCTACTCGTGTATGCCCGTGGCTGTTGACACACGCGATGGTATCCGTTTGGTATTTCAGGTATATTAGATTGGCATGGTTCTATATTAGTCAAGCATACAGTCTTCTTCTTTTGGTCCTGCAATAATTCAATATTGTGTAGAGTAATGATTAAATGTTTGGTCTTTTTGGCATAGGTAGAACCAAACCAGGAGTTTCACGGGCTAGTTTGTGAAGGAGCCAATGTTCTTCCTTCAAAGTTTCTGGAGGATTCTTTTCGTGATGGATATGGTAGGAGTTTCTAAATTTTCTTAATTCTTGAAGGAAATGTCTATAAGATTAATGTGCTGCATTTGAAATGTTCTCATGGGAAACCCTTTTTGTTTTCCAATTTTGGTGTCAACCGTGCAGGAAAGGTAGTTAATGTCAAGCGTTTGGATGAAGCAATAACTTCCATCGATGGATGGTACATGGAGCGTGGTCTTTTTGGCTTGGTACTTTGTAGCACTTAACCTGTTATAAATATTTTTAGTTTTGTGTAGGCATGTGGTATGTTGTTTGGTTTCTAATCAATGCTGGATTACTGGTCATGTTTATTGACAATTTTTTTATAAAAAAAAAAAAAATTCTGTAAAGGTTTCTCGGGTTGAGATTCTTTCTGGAGGTATTATTAAGTTGCAAGTTTCAGAGGCGGAAGTAAATAATATCTCCATACGCTTCCTTGACAGAAAGACGTAAGAACCTGCATATGATTTGCTTTCCTACTTTCTGACGACATTTAGGCAGGATACGTGACTAAGGTCTGTTTTGCTGCCGTCTTAGTGGTGAACCAACTAATGGGAAGACCAAGCCTGAAACAATACTTAGGCAGCTGACAACCAAAAAGGGGCAGGTATTTCCCTTGATTTAGTCTTGTGTTCATACACAAATAGTTAATGATGATTCTTAAGTACTTGCTATTTATGTTAAAAATGGCTATGGAAACATCATATATCCTAAACATTATGGGGTTATTCATTTCCAATTTGTTTGTCGTTAGGTTTACAGTATGATTCAGGGAAAAAGAGATGTAGACACTGTGCTAACTATGGGAATCATGGAAGATGTTAGCATCATTCCCCAACCATCAGGAGGTGAGAGACAATGCAAACATATACATAGTCACACAAAGTCTTGCCCACCTGTTTGATGATTTAATCTATTATTCTATATTTGTTATTGTTTCTGCAATGTTATAGATACTGGTAAGGTTGATTTGATAATGAATGTTGTTGAACGTCCAAGTGGAGGTTTTTCTGCTGGTGGTGGAATATCAAGTGGGTAAGTGATGCTTATTCTAGGTTGACTACTTTCCATGCTAATTTATCACATATCTGAAAAACGCTTACTAGTTTTTTTTTTTTTAATTTGTAGGATTACAAGCGGCCCTTTATCTGGACTGATTGGCAGGTAAGGTTGCAGACTGCATATCTGCTTGGTTTTCCTGTTATCAGTTCATTGGTTGACCATTGTCTGTCAGTGTTATCTTCTGGAATACTTAAGTGGAATTAAGTAAGTACTTCAATGCTAGATTCTTGAAAGGGCATTTGATCATCTTTTTCCCTGTTGCAGCTTTGCATATTCTCATAGGAATGTTTTTGGAAAAAACCAAAAACTTAATATTTCCTTGGAGAGGGGTCAAATTGATTCAATATTTCGCATAAACTACATAGACCCTTGGATTGAAGGAGATGACAAACGGACATCTAGAACAATAATGGTTCAGGTAAGGTTAGCCATGTTTATATAGGAACTGCTACCAGTTCCCTGATGATTATAAGCTACATTTTCCTTCAACTGGTTTGTTTTGGATCAGAATTCACAAACCCCTGGCACACTGGTGCATGGAAACCAACGTGAAAATGGCAGTCTAACTATTGGCCGAGTAACAGCTGGTCTAGAATTTAGTCAACCAGTCAGGCCAAAATGGAGTGCAACTGCAGGACTCATTTTTCAGGTGTTTTGTTTCAACTGAATTTTCATTTTCTATGGTAGTTTTCGTGGCCAGTGAAAATCTTGACCATTGGAAAAGTTTAGTTTTATGATCATCTGCGTTTATTTTCTTTGCAATATTTATTTTACATATCTTATTCCAATTGTTCAGCATGCTGGGGTTCATGATGAGAAAGGCAATCCAATTATTAAGGATATCTACAGCAACCCACTTACTGCAAGGTATGCATTTATGGTGCAAGATGCCATTTACACTGTAGCTTGGACTTGAATTAATATGTTGTTACTGGGGTTTGTTATGGTCTTAATTTGTTATTCTTTGTTTACCTTTTTCCTCATGTAGTGGTAAGACTCATGATGATACATTACTGCTTAAATTTGAGACTGTATATACTGGTTCTGGTGACCAAGGATCTTCAATGGTTAGCACTTAGCATCTCTGATCTGTACTTCTTCTGTTATTTATTATGTTCATGGTCCTTATTTCTGTTATCCTGCAGTTTGTCTTTAACATGGAACAAGGAATTCCTGTTATGCCCGAGTGGCTGTTTTTCAACAGGGTCAATGCTCGTGGCAGAACAGGTGTAGAGATAGGCCCTGCCTGTCTCCTCTTGAGGTATTGGACCAACTTTCCTTCTTTTTTTTTTTTTTAATCAAATATGGGTCAATGAATGGTAATTCTGATTATGTAATTGGGAGACTAATCTACAAAACTTGATCTTTTCTTAATCTTTTTTTCCCACCTGGATCCTTGGTTTTGGGGGTGGTGAAGGGCAGAAAATCGTTCCCTTTTAGTTTGCTGACTTGCTATGGTTTTCATTGCTAGTTTGTCTGGTGGTCACGTAGTGGGAAATTTTTCTCCTCATGAAGCATTTGCTATTGGTGGAACAAACAGTGTGAGAGGCTATGAAGAAGGTGCTGTAGGCTCTGGTCGATCTTATGTAGTTGGCTCTGGTGAAGTTTCTTTCCCTGTGGTAGGTGGCCAGAATTCTTCTCATGTTTCTTGAACAAGCCTCTTGTGTTCTCCATGGGGTATAGATGTTGTATTTCATTCCCCCGCATCTATATAGGACCCTTTTCCTGGTTTGTAGAAGGATTTTCTAAAGCTTTGCAATATGCTGCTGATGCTTATCTCTGATTGATAGCGACTGTCAACTACCTGGCATGGCTTAAAACACACAAGTTTATGAAATTGAGAAAATAGTAATGTCTGTGAAATAATTATTGTTCTGGTAGATGCAGAAACAAAGAAAACCATGGATAATGCTTCCCTAGGGAAACAGTTCTATATTATGAGATACAAAACAAAATTTTTACCATTGAGATTGTGGAAGTGGTAGTTTATCATTTAATACTATATGGGTCTTTGGGTATTGTTGTAGGGAGCTGAGAATTCAACTCTGGATAAATTCAGCCTAGATTAATCATTAGCCATTGCTTTTCCAAAAAAAAAATTCTAGATAGATAATAATTTGTAGATCAACATTCTTGTTGCCTGCATGCAAGAATACGTTCCTTTATCATTTTATTCTTTTCTGTTTCCAGAGGGGCCCTGTGGAAGGTGTTATATTTGCAGATTATGGAAACGATCTTGGGTCAGGTTCAACTGTGCCTGGTAGGTTATTTATGGTTCACATCTGATAAATTTTTCATTCTAGCTGTTGTTTTGGAGAATAAAAGAAAAATAGTGGGAGGACAAGATGGAATGATAGGTGTTTCTAACATTTTATCATTGTGGTGCTGATGATGTTCAACGTGGAGTTAACGCTGTAATGGAAGCTGTGTGCTTATTTATAATCTAACTCCTCTCCCTCTCTCCAAAAAATGTTCCTATTAGGTGATCCTGCTGGGGCAAGGCTAAAGCCTGGGAGTGGATATGGATATGGGTTTGGCATCAGAGTGGATTCACCTTTAGGGCCATTGCGTCTGGAATATGCATTTAACGACCGGCAAGCAAAGAGGTTTCACTTTGGAGTTGGTTATCGTAACTAAAGACCTTCTCTGCATCTTTTTCGTTCTCATAGGCCATTTTGTTTCATAAATTGCATGCACAGTTTTGTTGCTTTTTTTTTTTTATCCTTTTGTAAATTCCTGCCATTTCCAGCAACTGTTTCTTTTCTTTGCTTGATAAATTTTTATATTTTATCATAATTTCCTGATAAATTCTTTATCACACAACTAGTTGCAAGTGCGTCCTTAATTCATCAGTTAAATCTCAGATTTCTTGTATTGTTACTATTCCACATAAAATGGCTAATATAGGAACAACAAAAGGAGTGATATCATTTGTAAGGTCTTATACTCACACCGCCCTTCATACTCAGTGCTT